CCCTGGTGCCATTATATCGTATGTTGAAATCAATATCGTCATAAACAAAAAAATCAACTTCTCGAAAATATGTAGACAAGACAAGATTACTAAAATAAGTTTAAATTTGAAAAAGGCGCGATATTTCATTAATGACGATATTGTGTCCAACCTGCGATATATTAAGACAAAAGTAAAAAACCTTGGAAGATAAGAAAAAAGAAAATAAAAATCATATACCTTAAACCAACCCGTTGTTAGGTGTAATACAACAATGTGACAACAGTCATTAATATAATACGTGTTCAAAGATGTAAAATCTTAAGTGTGAACTAAATTCGTTATTCATTATCTGACTTTAAAATGTCGTCGAATCTATAAATAAATTTAGACAATCTATTTATTTACAAAACTATCTGGTTGTGGATTTTTGATTCGTTATTTACGAAAATTATTATTGTAGATGTAATTATTTACAACAATAAGGCAAACCTCACCTTATCAGCACCCGCCAGCGTATTAAATAGCAGTTTTAGGGCCGTATTCTAGAACTCTACTCAACGCTCAAGTCAGGACTTGAGTATTGCAGTGAGCACTGAAAATCATACACAAGTCTTTGCCATTAGGGTCGTAGTTCCATTGCTTGTGTTTCCAGTGCAATCCTGACTTGAGCATTGATTAGAGTTCTAGAATACGACCCTTAATTTGCTACCAAAGATGCAATATACAGCACTCAAACTATTTTGAACCGTAATTCCCCATTTGGGAAATATTAAATTTCTAGTTTGGAAATATTCCCGGGTATTATATCAGTACCGATAACACCTCACTCTGAAATACCGGAATGTTTAAAAATGAAAGGCAAAAAATCAAAACAAAATAAGCTACATTTTTATTTACAATTACAAAATTTTTCTTCTGAGTACGCTGCCATAGTAAAGTAATTGCCACATATCAAAAATATAGAACAAATCACGACATCATAATTCCGGTATTTCGGAAGGAGGTAGTATCCATAGATCTACTCTAAGTGTATGATTTGATTGTCGATAAATAATTTGTCTATTTTGATCTTGAAGTGCGTGCGCGCTGTTAAATGAGATTTGTCCCAATTCTAACGTCACGTTTATAATGTTCAAATCAAAAATCAGTTAGTAAGTGTTAGTAATTTAACAAAAACAATGGATTCAAGTTGATTTTTTAAACAAAATAACATTCTTTGGTTCTACAACGAAGAAATATTTCAGATATTGATATTTCCATATATTTTATCACATTTTCGTGAAGAATAAATTATAAATTTATTCATTTTTACAGTAATATTTTTGTAACATAAATAATTATAAAGTATAATAATATAAATAACCTCCTAAGGCCCCGTGTACAACAAAATGTACAAAACAGAAGTGCTTCAGACCTAGACAATATTATTTCTATGATTACGTAAACACCCAATGTACGTAATAACAAAAATATCGCATTCAAAAGCGCTATACAAATATTCTATACGACCGTAGGGTATATAGAAAAATACGTTTTTGATACAAAACTAAGGACACACTTATGGGGCCTGAAGCACGTAATTAAATTACATTTAGTAAATTTCAGTGTACGTTAGACGTTTAGAGCTTTTCCCATTGTAGTTTGCTGGGTCTTAGGGGTTACAGTATCATTTTAAATAGTAACCATATGATTAAACAAAAATGTCAAGTGAAAAATAAACACACTATTTACACAGGAGTAATAATTATTGGATACAATTTGTATATTAAAAAAAAAATTAAGAATTTTAACAAGTAAGCCTAACAAAAAGACATATTGCGGTATAATTTCGTTAGTTAAATTTAAAAAAATTAAAATTAATTGCTATTGGATAATGTAGAATTGCTTTAAAAGTTTTATTGTACCTATTTTTATGTAACATTCATTGACTTAAAAAAAAATACTAAACAAAAATTTCATGGAAATTATTTTTAATATAAAAGACATTTTTTCCACTCGTGTTTGCTGAATATACTAGAGTGTATTGACACTGGAAGTGGCCTCCAGGTGTTTAAAACTACATTAAAAAACCCAATTTCATATTAGAACTGTATCTTTTTAACTTTAAAATGCTAGATAACATTTTGTTGTTGCGTGACTACAGCTGATCTATTAATAACCTTTATATTATGGAAATAATAAAACCTTTACCATTAACTATTATACAGTTTTAGAATTTAAAAAATATTTAAGTCCTAACAGATTATGGCCAATTTATTTTCAAATGTAACTCTTTTTTTTCTATTATGCACTTATTTGTGTATAGCAGAAGTTAATGCCTTATCTACATTTCAAATTACAAAATTACACTTAAAAAGGTTGTTATATAACTATGTTGTGTTATGTATGAGTCAATATGTACATCTAACGCATTTTTATAAACGCGGTAACAATTTCGACGTTCAAAACTAGAACACTTTTAATGAATCGAATGGTACTTATTTCGAAGTAAGGCGTCAGATTAAACAGCTCCCTAAGTTTAATTAAATAATTATCGCCTCTGAGAGGACGGAATATAAGGAGACTCACGCCCAGCAGTGGGATGATACAGTAGACTGATTAACTCATGACCAGTGATCGGAGTAAGTGGTGCTATTTGTAGTCGTAATAGGGATGTTATTTTTAATTAAATATTATATATTTCCGGTATTCCGGGATTAAGAACAGATATTTTATTAGTTACTTAGTAATTTACGTAAACGAGTGAAGGGCAAACAATTATGCGAGTGTGTTTTTGTCTCTTAATATTAACACTTGTTTACTTGCAATGCTCTGTCATTAATGCAAAATTCTAAAATTTCAGAGTCATATCCCGATTAAATCCATTTGTAGTTTCTGATTCGAAATAACTCTACCTCAGGGCTTAACATGTGGTATAAGGCGAGCCTACCTAACATAATGCATTAATAAAATTTTGAGAAGGGTCCATGACTAGAAAAAGTTTAAAAAACCCTGCTCTACCTACTGCGATCACTGCTCTCAATGCGTGGTTCGACATTTGTTCAAAGGAGTAATTGTGCCAGTTTTTTCTTTCTTCCAGTGTACCAGATCAATAAGAAAAGAAGCGGTAATAGCAAGTTACTGATGGACGCAATTAAAGTAACCTTCCATGTTTAGTACTCACCAAAATGATTGTTTCTCAATTCTAAACATCAAAATCATCCCACAATATAATATAATTTATCTAACAGCAAGTGGACTGAACTGTTTCTGCTTCAAGTAGATTGAAATCCATACCGTTAGGCCGGTTGAATCCGGTCTTTATTCCGTCCCAACCGTCTTCCACTTTGTATTCTCCGGTTTGTATACGGTTGTAAACTTCTTGTGCGACTAGAACAAATGCTTCTTCCACGTTCATGCCTGTTTTTGCTGATGTTTCAACATGGTGTAGGCCTGATGACAAAAAAATGAGTTAACGGTACAAATTTTTGATATGGCCAATTTCAAATCAAATAATTTTATTCGTCATCATGAGCACAATAAAGATGATAACATTTATTTTATGGTCGCCATGACGTACCATCAAGGCATACGAATTATACTATTATTATTAATTATACCTGTCCAATACTTCGAAATAATAACAATAATAATAATAATTAAAGTCATGAATCACTGATTATAGACTTCCACCTTCACTTAATTAAATAATAATCAATTTAAATAAAACAATCCCATACAAAAACGTTCGTCTCAATAATGAATAATAAATAAATTAATTTGAAATTAGTTAACAAAATTCCATTAACGTATAAAATGATTTTTCAATTAAACACTCAAATAATGGGCGTTTAAATTCCATTCTCGAGTCGAAATTTTCATTCTGCATTAACTGTAAATTTAAAAATAAATATACTTTTATTAAATAAGATCAGGAGGCCTACTCTCGTCCTCCGTCTGACACCCGTGCGGAACAATTACCGTGAAATAAGTAATACACGACCAAATAAAAAGATGCATGATGCAAATGCAGCTTCATACTTCACATTGTCTTTCGACTTGGTCGATGAATATTCGTTTCTTAGATACTTAACTTATTTGACAGTAATTGATTCGGATGGAGAAAGGGAAGACCACCTATCTCGGGATTCAACAGAAAAAGCTGTTAAAACAATATCGCAGATGAAACCAAAGACTGTCATAATTTAAAATACACGACTTGGAAAAAAAATATACTGAATGGATCTTATTGCGAATAATGGGCTTATTTTTTTTTAAATATTAGTGGCTTTGCCTTCGCATTTAGCCAATGAAAGGGTTTTGAAAGCAGAATTACAGATAATATAATCTATATAATACAGATTATGGAAGAGGTACGGAATTTGGGTGAAAAAGGATTGGGTAGCTATTATATATAGGCATACATATTAAAGCTTGATATTATTATTTTCAATAAATAAGGTCAGACTATTGATGTTTACACATAATAACTACAAGTGGTGGGACGTACAAGTCGTGGGCCTGGTGGAAAGTACTTTCAATGCGCACGTCACCCTGAGACATAAGTTGATAAGTCCTTGTAATTTCACCAGTACCCTTACTCATCAAAACTGGAACGCAGTAATGCGCTGCTTGGCGGCAGAAATAGGTAAAATTAATTATCCAGAATATAAATTTACTGGTTCCATTGAGTAATTTATTGAACATTCAAATCGTGTTTTCTCAAATCCATCATTTTTTAGTTACACCAGTACTTAGTTTTACGTACCATATATGGCCGTATGATAATAATTCACAATAAAAGTCAAAGCAATCTTTCTAAAAAAACGAAAACAGGTTCATAGATTATGTTTTTAACGTATAAGACATCTTACTTGTATTACAAGATATTACCTTTGATATTACATTTGCACGCGCCTTGTGCGTATCATAAAACCAAGTTTCGTACGAGATGACAAAGCACAAACGTCATCTATATATATACAATGTCATTGAGTGAGCTTGTGCTATAAATAAAACATAATAACCTTTAGTCGCCAAAAGCAGTAAATACAATATTTTAGAGAATTATTGCAAGCATTTAAAACCAGATAAGGGAATGCGTTTTGTGAAAGGTTTTGGCGTTTTGATAATTTGGTTTAAACCGGGTTAAAACCGATTAATGCCCGAAATCGGAGGCAAAAACTATTTACAACTAAAATTTGGAATCAATTGACAAGCGTGCAAAGAGGCTTATGGGTGACTCGGAATTAGTAGAGGCGAAGCTGCAGAGCCTTGAACACCGCCGTGAAGTTGCCTGCTTATCGGTATTTTACAGGATATATAACGGGGAGCGTGCGATGGAATTACACGATTTAATTCCGCCTTCCCCTTTCCATCATCGGGGGAATAGGCGTAGGCTTGGCTTCCACCCCTATGGAGTGGAATTGCAGACTTGTTCCCTGAACGTTATAACTTGGACCTTTTCAAGGCGAGAGTGAATAGGCATTATTTAGATGTCCATGCTCCATCGTCGACCTCATCGTCACTTTCCATCAGGTGAGATGGAGGTCAAATGCACACTTACATTTTAATAAAAAAAAAATTGAGTTTTGTTCAGATGCTCACATTTCGTCTTTCTATTGAATAGATTCGCTTGAAAATCGCTTTGAAGTGAAAAAAAAATCGTTAGAACACTTGAACAGATTGAATGGTAAGTGAGAGTCCACAGAATCCCAAGGTGGGTATTGTGTGGAACTGCCTCTTTTACGTCTAAAAATATTTTTTTATATTGAAATAATAATAACGCACATTCTTATAGCTCCGCACTATGGAAATCCTGCTTACATGGCCATAAACAGACACTGACAAAATGACATCCAAACTCGCGAGAGAAATAAATGTAGGCCATACAAATATTTCTTCCGACCCGGGAATCGAACTCCCGACCTCTGCGTGGCAGACCTTTTCGTTCGATTTTGGGCAGAAATATTTTGTATTATTGTAGAAAATTAAACAAGTACAATATAATATCGTATACTATACGTGTTTTTATTTAGTTCAGTAGATATAAAAAGAAATCGCTGGTGTATGTGGTAACCCTTAGTTATGAGAATGTTGAGATATTTTTGCAATAACGTAAAGTCTAATAGGTACAACAACCACAAACTCTTTCTTTAATCTACACCTTACAATTACAAACAATACAATTCTAACCACAGTAAAATTTATACTAATTGAATATTCGCCGCATTTATTTGTATATATAACACGGAAGAAATACTATATATTAAATTTGACACAATGTGTATATATTTATATGTTTCGTATTTATGTAATATATATTTACTTTAAAGACATCAACCTACTCTGTATAAATATGTAACCCAACCACTGTTTCAAAATAATAAAACTAATATAACTGCTCTAATTACCTGTACTGTACAATTTAGAAATTTGTAAATTAGATGTAGTAAACAGATATTGTAGAAGAGCGGAGTCTCCTAACACAGGCATTGCTATGCTTAAAAGGAGATTCCAGTCACTAATACTGTAAATCTAAACTTGAAATGAAATAAATGATTATTATTATTATGTTAAGTACCCATTGAATACAGCAGTTTTCTTGTAAATTTTCGAGGTAAGTTTGTGGGATTTTTTTTCTATACTATTTTTAGGAATCGTGGTTTCACACCGTATATTAATCAGTGTATATATCCTCAATTTATCTATATATTTTTCCCAAAGTAATTGATTAATAAACACTTTCGCTGTTATGCAGAATCAACCCATTTTTGTAGTTGCATAGTCTCTTACGAGTAAATGAATCATGAGGTATTTAACTGATAGACTGCGCAGACTTGAGATGATAACATTTTAGTACGCAGTAGTCTAGAACTCATAATTTTACACCAAGAGTTACGACAACGGCTGATAAGAAATGATCTAAGTGAGGTCTTGAAGAAGACGCATTAAATCGATATGTGTGTCATGGAAGTTGTTTTTGGTAACGTACATTTTTATATGTACTTATAAATTGAGACTACCAGTGTACTTTTAATTTAATAAATGTAATTAGATATTTCTTATACATGAAAATAGAATTATACTGTTTAATTCCGCCTGTCTCTATCCATCACCGGGGGACTAGATGTAGGCTTGGGTTCCACCCCTATAGAGTGAAATTTCCTACCTGCAGACTTATTCCCTGAACGTTTATAACTTGGGATTTTTCAAGGCGAGACTGAATTAGGCATTATTTAGATGTACATGGTACATCGTCACTTTCCACCAGGTGAGATGGAGGTCAAATGCGCACGTATATATTTTATATATAAAAAAAACTATTATAGAAAAAGTGGCATTTAAAGTAATATTGCAGAAAAAAAAAATGTGGGTTATGGTGTGACTCACATTTAATTTTTACGCTAATAACGCACACACTCAACATAGCCCCGCACTAGGGAAACCCTGTGTCGCGAGTGCCATGGACACACACATAGACAACCACAAATTACACCCGAGCGAAATAATGTAGGCTATACAAATATTTCTCCCGGCCCGGGAATCGAACCTGGGACCTCTGCGCCTGTGTCGTGCGCCTGGTGGTCAGTGACTCGCCTATCCATAAGTGTGTGTCCATGGCACCCGCGACATAGGGTTTCCCTAGTGCGGGGCTATGTTGAGTGTTTGTGTTATTGTTTTTATTATTAATCTTCCACACTGATCCGGCCGGGGATCGAGACTGGGACCTCGGAGATGAAAACCTGTGTGCAAGGCACTCAACCGTAAGTCGTCAAAATAAGAGACCAACTTTTAAATTATTGTTTTTTTAAATCATTTAAATCGTGACTATCATAAAACACGTGTTTTATTTTTAAAATAATAATAAATTCACAGGTGTCCCGTTCTGAGGGGAATAAAAATAATGATCACATTAGGTTATAGGTTGGTAGTCTTCCGATGCGCAAAGCCGATCCCGGATCCCTCCCACTAGAGCACCCGAGAAGGCCAATGTGGGGTTTTAGTCGGTAGAAGCCGGCTATATATAACTTCTCCGGCGAGGCATCCTAGGATGTTTTCTCCACGAAAAAAAAGTAGGTAAAGTCAATCGAGAATAAGAAAGTCCCACGTTCTTTAATACCATTGAACTTGCCTCCCAGTTGTAATTAGATGTGATCAGAATATACCAATTGCAGGTTGCTTTGATGAATGAATAGCTCGACCCAATTATTATAATAATAAACTAGCACCATTAAGAATATGTAAACACATACATAGATTGCCGGCATATTTAGGCTAAGGCCTTAACTTTATTACGTATTAGAAATTTTGTTCTTGTTTAAATGTTTACATAACAAACAATACTAAATTAACTTTAGTATTGCTAACTTGTATTAGGAATTACGAAGCCTTGTGTATTATGTAGGTATCTATGTAAAGTGGCTTTGTTTTTTGTATCCACATTAGTGTGAAAACTTTTAAACCAATCAGTTTAGGTACGTAAAGTTCTACAATTTAATAAAGTGCACTTAATACGTATATGTATAGTGTTGTATATTAAGTTAGTTTTTTTTTAATAATATCAATGACGGGACGGACAAGTCGTGTGTCTGATGGTAAGCTACACGCCTGTCCATAACTAATTAAATGTCCCGTCCATAACTGATTAAATCGGAAAGATCTGAGGGGCACTGCCACTGCGTCCATCATCCTGAGACATAAGTTGACAAGTCTCATGTGCAATTTCACCAGCACCCTTACCCTTCAAAACTGGAACACAGTAATGCTGACATTACTGCTTGGCGATAGAAATAGATAAGGTGGCAGTACTTCACTGGACAACTCTTTCAGAAGGAGTTCTAGTGCTACTACTATATGTCTGTAATAATATGTTCAGATTCAGAGTGCTTAAAACATATTATTGTTGTTACAGAAAACAATTTACAAGTGGACTTTCAGGTTTTTTGGTGTAAGGTTAATTTTTGTCAATTTATGCTGTACCTGCTTAAATTATACTCTGGCCTAATTCAAAATTTTTTCATGAAATTTAAGTAGGCTCATAATAATCTTGAAGTCATGTCTGTCATGAATTTTGGTCAATCACTTACTAGTGATTTGAAACCACAAAATTACCAGGTAATTAATTATTTATAAAACTGTCGTCAGTAATGATTTTTTTATTTAAAGGGACAGGTTGCAAACATTCGAGTTTGAGTAGTAATTCAAATTTAAAATTGGAAATTGCTGGATGAAATATGTAGTAGATTAATATAAAATAAATCTTCTCTTAAATCTTACAATTTACTTTTTTTTTTCAACTTCCATTACATATTATCTTCTGTACCTACAATGTAGCAGTAAGTATTAATAGGTATCACAAATTTCATTATTTTATCATAAATCGAATGTATGAATAAGTACTTTGTAATTTTCAGAATAATTGGCTAGTCAAGTATTACTTCAAAATAACCCAATTACCTACTTACCTATTTAAATTCCAATTACACAAGCAGGTCATGGGCAGAGCTAAATTAAACAATGAGCATTGACAAAAAATGCACTTTACACCTGCTATCAATGGTTACTTAGAAACGTTTATTAAACATTCTATATCCAATTTTGCTGGAGTACAAGTAGGTACTGATTATTAACTGTTACATCATGTATTTTGTTAATTATGTTATATGTATTTTTTTGTAAAAAAGCATGTTAACATGATTACTGTATGTGGATTATATAAAAGTGTAGAGCAGATGGATGTAAGAAAAATGAATTACAAAACATATTTATGATGCGAATGTGGGTGGAAGGGTTTTAAGATGACATCCCAAAAGGACTTACATTGACCAGATCAGTGATGTCCTCAAAAGGCTGGGATCCGAAGCGACAAGAATAAAAGAAGTTGTATGAAAAGGGTAGTTGATGTATGTGAGGCTAGAAAGTTGTGTCAGGATGGACTAAGATGGAGTATCATGGTCTCTGCCCACTGGGAGACAAGGGTGTGAGTGTTGTGTATGTATGTAATATCAATAAAAAATATATAACTGAAACACATACAATTATTTGTTATTGATGAATAGAGCACCTATTACTAACAAAAGCTTAAAAAATCTTGTATGCAATAATATAACATGCAGTTTTTTGACTCTCCCTTAAAATAACTTGAAATATACCTGAGCGGTTTTGTTTGATAAGCGATTATATAATTAATATATTATATATACGAATATCTGATTAATATATTTTTTAATTTATTTCAAGACCTTGGATACAAGTCGCTTCACTTCAAATATTACTATTACCGTTTCATATTACTTTCTACGTTCATTATCCTATTAATATATTTTATTTCATGATTGGATTTAAGTTCTTTAGTCTTTTTTTGAAGTAAATAAACTTGCTCTTGACCGCTACCTAGGCCTGGAGCTAAGATAGGATCTACGATGGAACAAGCCCATCCAGAAAACTTATTAGTTGCACCATAAATATACTCAGCTTGTATGTTCTTGTAAACTGTCCACACAATAAAAGGTGATGAAAAGCGCTTAGCATGCCTGATGGATCCATCTGATCCATCAAATAGGGATAACATCCCACTGTATTTCCTCTGGATTTCCGATGGTAAAAAGGGGCGAAGAGTAGAAATGTTAGAAATAATAAACATAGAAAATAACATATTCTATGTAACCTTGCCAGAAGCATAAATAAGCGAGAATATGAAAAATTCATAATACAAGACATGCATGGAGATATAAGAAAAAAAGCGCAACGAACCATGGAATTTATTCTGCCAACTTTCATTTGTTTTGCGCTTTTTTGGTTGCATTCAGTTCTTTACAAATTTTTTCCCGCTTTTAACTATTATGTTCACTTAGATAAATAAACACATTACCATTTTCTTCGGCGAACATTCGCGCTTCCTCGCACGAGACTTCCCGTCGTGCGCCATTCTTATTGTCCTTATCCACAAGGTCTACTTTGCACCCAACTAATGCGAACACAGGTCTATGAGGCTCTATATGTCTCTTGGCCTCCATCATCCACAACGGTATGTGCTCAAAACTCGATCTGTTACAGACATCGTACACCAATAACGCGCCAACAGAGTTCCTATAGTACGACTTTGTTATGGATCGAAATCTCTCTTGTCCAGCTGTGTCCCAAAGCTGTAATTTAATTCTCGTACCGTCCTGCACCTCTATTATTCTAGCAAAAAAATCCACACCCACTGTGGGGTCCGATAGCTGAAAATTAACGCGCAATTTAATCACCTATTTACCAAAATAGTACGAAAACAATGGAAAGGGACCACGAAACTTACCTCGGCGAATTTGCCATCTGTAAAGTATTTCAACAACGAACTCTTTCCCACCGTACTGTCACCGATTAAAATCAGCCTGAACTGGTAATCAAATATCGGATCAACCATTTTAATTCCAATTTCAATAACATAAACCTAATAACTACAACGACCTCGTCAAAATTACGTAGATATCAAAAGCGAATGATAAATACTGTGACGAGTGAACGATGATTGGATTGATCGATGTATGGCTGCGTTCATTGTTTTTGAAAAATATGACAGCTGATTCAACACTGTTTAAAAACCGGTAACTATTACCAAAATCATGATGGCGTACTTTAGCGCATAGACAAGAAATTTAGTAGTAGAGATTTATAGACAAATAGTTCAATTATTCGTTCAAAATTTTGAATGTTCTGAAATGAGTGGTCTTTTACGAATAAATTAAAATTAAATACAATAATATTAGTGGCTATATTGTAGTTACAAACACAATAATTTTAGGACTTTAAAGGTTAGGCGAATTGGTGTGTAAATAGGTTAAAAATTTAAATGATAACCTATACAAAGATTGGTTGGCGCCGCGCCGCCTCGATTGACGGCCTTTGTAAATAAAACAAGTTATTCTTAAATCCAAATGAGTTTTGTTCAAAGCGTCGTAAAAATGAAGGAGAATGGAACAGATTTCATTGAAAGCAAGCTGAAATCCACACCGATAGGTACAAATTTGTTTTATTTTTGAACCGGTTTTGTATTGTCATTATTAAATGGTTTCATTTTTCATTTACATACCCCACTACCATAGTAATTACAAATGTTGTTTTGAAATGCTTAATGCTATTGTTTCCCTACTCATTGGGCCCTCTGCTACCACTTGGACGTTTACTTTCTCCAGAGGTTCACCTGTTTTTCTGTATGATTTAGGGTCGTATTCCAGAACTCTTCTCAATACTCAAGTCAGGACTTGAGTATTGCAGTGAGGACTGAAAATCATACTCAAGTCCTTGCCATTAGGGTCGTATTTCCAGTGCTTGAAAGCATACTCAAGTCTGCTCAAATCCTGACTTGAGCATTGAGTAGAGTTCTGGAATACAACTCTGAAGGTCGTATTCTAGAACTCTACTCAAAGCTCAAGTCAGGACTTGAGTATGATTCAAAGCACTAGATATCATACTCAAGTCCTTGCCATTAGGGTGGTATTTCCAGTGCTTGAAGTCATACTCAAGTCTGCTCAAATCCTGACTTGAGCATTGAGTACAGTTCTGGAATACGACCCTGAGTATGTGTACACTATAGTATCATAAAATTGTTCATAGTATATCTGTGTGTAGAATCTTTGGCCTGCATTAACATGCTGTTAAGAACATTTCTTTTTCATTTAAAAGTTATGAATTTCTACCATTGAAGGTGTTACATTAAAATTAAACTGGCTGTTCTTGACGGTTGTCTTCACTAAATTACAAATTTATTTTAGGGGTAATGCATGTGCTTTTATAATGAGGTTCTGGTTGATATTAAAAACTCTGCCATTTTTGAGATTTATATCTATAGTGAAACAAAAACTTTTTGTTATAGGTAGTTATATAGCTTCTACATATTGGTATTATAAAAATCCATGGTAGTGACCCGTTTAGCTTTTTCAGGTTGTTTCAATTTATGATATTTGAAATACATGTGAGACGATTTCAAGTATAATTTCCCTACTTCCAATCGAAGTAGATAGATAAAAAAACATTTTTAATGTAAGAAATTAAATTTTTTTTCAGCCATGGTAGCTCCAGAATTGAAACATAATGCAGACAACACAGAAATAACGAAAACATGCGCTGTGTTGGGGTGTGATGATTCCAAGAATCTGAGTTCTGATGAGTTTTTCGGGTATACTACTTTGGTATTTTTTTTAATTCATCATAGTTTTTATATTATATGTACAGAATTTACAGTTTGAAATTAAATGGTACAGTTATATTAGGCAGATGGCTAGATAAATAAATAAATAAATTGTTACTGTGGCATTCTTGCAGGCTACAAAGAGCATACAGTAATCATCTTAAGAATATTTATGCTCTGTTTCAGCACACAAATTATATAACTATTATTGATAATGAATAGAGGCTATTTGATGATATCATTATTATATGTGACAGTTTCCATTACAGAGACCACTATCTTTTATTATTATCTCAAAAGGCTGCCATATGATGAATCTGTTTATTAGTTCAAGCCTTAAAGGCAGCCCTTTAAGGTGTATCACAATCGTAATGGACCACAAGCCCTGGTCTGTGAAACACCGTAGTAATAAAACACCATCAATACCTTTTATTCTTTTATCTTTTAGGTTTCCTGAAGACCCAAGCTACAGGCAACTGTGGACAAACCTGACAGGTCGCAACAATTGGACCCCAACAGACTATTCATACATCTGCATACAACATTTCTCTGTTGACTCATTCCAGATAGATGCTAACAATCAGATGGTATTGGTTGATAAGGCTGTTCCTTCATTGAAGCTGCCTAAACATGTTTTGGAGGTATATTATTGGAATTTTCTTCTGACTACAAAATTGATAGAAAATTAATAGGGGCATTACCTGAAAAACCCAGACCTGTACTAATTTAGAGAATTTGTCTTAATTGGTTCCACTAGAAATTGAACATCACCCTACAAGGTTGCTACCCATCAAAGTTGGCTGGAATCACAATCCTCCCACAATTGGCAGTTGGTTTACTGAAATCACCAGCCCTTTGTCAAACAGTGCTCATGACAAGTCTACCCAGATTTGTTGGTTAGAAGCTGATGCAGAGGTAGAGAGTCTGTACTTCATTTTGGTGTATATACCTAGTCTTGCCATAAATATTGTAATAAAGAAAAAAAAATTTTTTTAACTGCAAATAACATTTATTACGTATAAATAAGTGTGTTAGTTTAATACATAAATATACAACAATTAAAAATATAAAAAGCTTATTCGAAGTGGTCTCCATTAGCTGCAATACAGTCCTTTAAACGTTGAGGCCAGTTATCAATAGAAGCACGCACTCTTTCCATGGGAAATTCTTCACTGCCAATCGTATAGATTGTTTTAGGGACTCCAAATTATCATGGCGTTTAGAGCAATCTGTACTCTCTAAAACTGACCATAAATCATAATCCAGCGGATTAAGATCGGGACTAGACGACGGCCAGTCTACAGCTCTGATGAAGTCCGAAACGTTCGCTTCCAACCAAGACTGCGTGGACCGAGCTTTATGACCCGGCGCCGAGTCTTGCTGGAAGGACCATACTTGGTCATTGAACATGGTGATGTTAAGGGGCTTAACTACCTTCTCAAGAATGGTATCTTGATACACTTGTGCCGATGTTTTGATACCTTTTTCACAAAAATATGGCTCAGTCACTCCTTCATAGCTAACACCCCACCAAACCATCACTGAAGTCGGATAATGTCCACGTTGCACTCTGTCGACTAATTGGGAAGCTTCCTTAGAGCTTTGAGCATAAATACGGTCACTTTGTTTGTTAAAATGTTGCTCAATTGTAAAAAGTTTCTCGTCCGTAAACAAAATTTTTCTGTGACCTCCCTTTGCGTACCGCTTCAGTAGTTGTTTCGATTTTACTACCCTATTCTTCTTTAAATTATCAGTTAAGAAATGACCAGTGCGTCTCTTATAGGCTGCAAGTCCTAAGTCATCTTTTAAAGTACGCGACATGGTTCTAGGTGCTATCTACATTTCCCGAGATAAAATCTTTTGCTTTCGGACAGGATTTCTTCGAATTCTTTCCCTTACTGCTTTGACCAGCTTTTTCGTACGAAGACTACGTGGACGGCCAGATCTTTTTCTGTCACAAACAGAGGAAGTCTCATTGTACCTATTAATAGCCCAGTACACAAACATTTTACTATTACCAAGTGTATGGAGAGTTTTAAAAATTGTATTTGGCTCCATACCTACTTTGTGTAATGCAATCACAGCGATTCGGTTCTCTTTATCACCCCACTCCATTTTAATATCGCAAAATATTGTACAATGTATTGGCGCCAAAATGAGAAAACACAATGAACAATCCTATAAAAATGACAGATTCGAAATTCAAATGTAATATTTTTTTATTTTTAAGTGTAACAGTATTTATGGCCAGACTAAGTATAAAACTGTCATTGTACACTTAAAAATGTAAACCGTTTCCTAATTAGATATAATTTACAAGATTACTTACAAAACGCTAATAAAACTACATACACTGTTTTTGCCACCAGGTGGAGTACATAGAAGAAGAAACTCTAGACCATGAGGATGATACAGATGTAGACGGAGACATAACAGAATGTGAATCTGATATGGATGTAGACCCAACACTCACAATCAATGGCAAACATGTTAACAAAACACAAATGGTTGATGAAGGTCTTCTAAAACTCTTCACCGAAGTTCAAATGATGCAACGGCAGTGCATCGGATTAAAAGATAAGTTAAAATTCAACATGAAGATCCATAATCGGCAAAGCAGATTTTTGAATCGACTTAATCAAATCATAGATATGAAAAAGGAAGTTCTGGAACAAAAGAAAAAGAAAAAAGCACGGATTTTATTGTCATTGCAGGATAAAATCAGAGAAGACACTAACGGATTAGTCATGGCAATGCCAACTAGACATACGGACGATTTGAAGAACTTTGCACTAAGTATTTATAAGTATTCCCCACAAGCATATGTGTATATAAGGAACACATTAAGGACTATGTTACCAAGTACAGATGTACTTGATAATTGGGTCACAGCAGGATACAATCCAAAAAATGTGTTGACAAGCAACAATTTAATAAAAGTCACTGCAGAACAGACTGATACAGAATTATCATGTAAAATATCATTACGCTGATTGAAATTAACATAAATGTAAATAAATGAAATTCTTTTTTGAGAATAAATTAGTGATATTTTCGAAAATGCATTTTTGCGTCATGTTTAATTTTAATTCCCATTTAAGTAATAATTTTCATTTCTGCACCAATAGAATCTCCAAACGAGGTTTGGTTCTAAAGATACGTTCGATACGAACCTCTATTGCGCGCCTAACCGGTTCTAATAGCGCAACCTATTAAGTTCCTAGTTTTAAAGCTCCTCGACAGATGGCGCTGACCAGAAGCCCTGCCCGAAAGAGATAATGCTATACAAAAGTTTAAACATGCTAGAAGAGTATAACGTACCCGCCCGCGGCCCAAACAAATGAATCCGTCAGTGTCGTGATTGCTTTGCCGTGTGTGGTTGTGTTTCGTAACTTCGCTAACACGACGTCGCGCGTGAACCAAAATAAATACATCTGTTCAAATATTGTGCAAGTTTTTTCAACAATTATTCTAAAAACTACCTTATAACATGTGTGTGCTCGTTCATTAAACTCGCAACAGTTTCAAAGTTTTATGTTGTGTTGTGTTTAAATGTTTTTTGTTTTTGTATTGTGACTGGATTTATTAATACGGATTATGAAGAACGCTTGAAAAGGTATGTTTTCCACGCTATTTTCGTCGACTTCCTTGTTCAATTCTGATTTCTCTTCGTTTTATGAGGTGAATTGGGACTGCGAAGTAACTGGCTGTAGTAACAGGACTTTCGCAATCACTATTCCTCGCGCGTGTCGTTGCCTTAAAAGTAAGGCATGCCTTAACCGCGCCGCGTTCAGACGCTATAGAAACGTGTAAATTTTAATTATGTTTTTATTAACTATAGAAAATGTCATGCGACAATAATATTTTCTCTTTCTTATAAGGTCAAGGAATAATTTCTTTATCGAAAGTGTTCCTTAGTGGCTTCTTTATTTTTAATTAGGTAGCTCTTGGGTATTGTTTTGTATGTTCCAGCGAAAGTATTCAACTTACCTTCATTAATAAACCCTAATGGATTGTATTGTCATCGTGAGAGCTTCCGGAAACGTGGAAAACAAAAGGAATTGTTGAATATAATCACGAAGAGACAACTTTTAATTAACATTTTGGTCCTTCGCGCCGGATTATTGTAACTTCCGTCAACGCAGAGGCATATACGAGCCTCCATCAAGTGCTTGTCAGTCAGTTAATCAGACAGTTTTGGTTCAAGTTGTTTGCCTGTCTATCAATCTGTCGTCAAAACAAGTCGGCGAGTTTCAACATTTTGGTTATCAATGGATGAATAATTGCGCTCTAGAAAATGGTCCTTCAAGCCGGATCGTTAATCATGATTATTACGCAATTTGCGGTTTTAGTTTCGCGTTAACTTAAAAGCGATCTCGTTAAATCGGAGTTAAGTGCGCCTAGGCGGGAAACAAAGCCCTGGATCTCGCTAACGAAGTGCTAACCCGAACGGTGTCCTATTTTCGTAAAGAAGCCGCCTGGATCGGTGACACAATTTGAGTAACACAGTTAACGAACTACTACAATACAGGAACAAGATGCTTTTTGTCGCAGATTTTTGAAAATAAATTATATATATATATTTTTTTACCTAAATCTACTTTCGAAAGTTTGTTAAATGTATGACTCTAAAGCAATTCATTGTTAGTAGCTCGAAACACTATCTATTTTAAAACATAAATAAATAATTCCCAATGGTTACTAAATTGTATTCTAATAATAGCCTCTCGAAATTTTCACGACACATTTTTAGGCTTTAAAGAAAATGCGACCATTATCATAAAGCCAAGTCATATAAAGTATGTTGTTGGCACCTTGGCACACGGAACCACCGAGCCGTGTAATGCTAATTCAGCGAGTGTGTGATTATGACAGCCATTGTGTGCTAAGCGTGCCTTAAATCGATTCCTAGGCTCCTGTTGCTGACTCTGGGTAGGGTCATTGCCAGGGTCATGAGCTTGATTTTTTGTGACAAGTTGTTTGTTGTTTGTAAGCACGGTCAAACTTTGACTTCTTTATAATGTTTGTCTTAAATTTCTTTACATTAGTTCTTAGGTTTCCGTGATTGCTCCACATTGGAAATGATACAGTTTTTCCGGGTCTAAATCGCGGTTTAAATATTAGATTTTTCCAATAAACCAACGTTTCGGGCATTTCACTGGTCCAATATTGGTTCCATGGTCACGGTTGACCGTATTAAATTCCTTTATCACGTCGACGTATTATATCATATTTTCATTAATAGTTTCATTCTTGTCATTGTCACAGTGTGTATTTATTTTCATTTCAGAGATCCCCCAAATTTCTGAAATTAATGTTGTCGTTTTATTTCAGAGTTCTAGTCCAGCGTAATAAAGTTGGAAGGCAGTTACATTTTAAATCCCGTAGAAAGTGTTCAGCAATTATTCGTAGTAATTGCGTACCTGTTGCTAATATTTCAACAGTTACTCCCGACATAAATCGGACATTAAGCTATGATGAGAGCGAGCTAATAATTTCAAGGAAATTACACCATTGCGCTGTTTCTGACAGCCTTATGCTTCTAACATAAACCTGGTTCGCAGGATCCTGCTTGCAAACTTCACAATAAATATATCGTCCCAACACAATGCAATAGAAGTTCTTATACAAAATAATAAATAGTGACAGACATAACATTAATACGAGGAATAAAAATAAACTAGCTTTTCTTGATAGTCGTCTTCACAAAGTCATGAAATCATTTAAGGGGCAATGTATACGCTTCTATAATAAGATTCCGGTTGATATACAAAATTTGCCTTTCACGGGGTTTAAAACTATAGTGAAACAAAAACTTTATACTAAAGGTTATTATACAACTTCTGCGTACTTGGATGACAAAAATCCGTGGTCTCTGATGTTTGAAATAAAAAAAAAATTGTAAATGTTATTTACAAAGAGCAACCCCTAGAGTTTCTTGCTCATTCTTCTCAGGGGAATCTGCCTTACGAATGAGCGGTAGAGTTTAACCATTGTGACGATTTCAAGTGTAGGTAATAATGCTTACTCATGAAATAAAGATTATTTTGAATTTGAATTTTGAATATACGTTCCTCGTTGAAAGGAACTAATGAATTCAACAGATGTAATCGTGGTATTTTTGCTAGCAACTTAACTGATGTGGTTGCTAATTCGCCTATCAAACGTGAGGACTATAGCAAATCTTTTCACACGTTGCACTGATATAGTGTGTGAGAATTTTGTGCTGTTGTGTCATATGTGTGTACATGTTTAGCAGGGTTAAACATATTTGGTAAATATTGCGTTGCATCTGTAGCAACGCAGCTAACAGGCGTTCGTGTTGGCATTTTTACTTTAATCTTCTGAGGGTAGACGGTTACGCAGATCAGATTTATGATGACTCGTTTGAGAAAATTGTCTTCTGTTAGAGTTGATTCAATTTCCACCCTTTTGCAAGACCGTTTTGAATGAGACGTGATGTTGCTTGACTGAGACTTTGTATAAAAAATATATTTTAGTAAAAGTACATCATTTAATCTGTTAAGTGGAATTTTTTGTGAATGGGTTGTTCAATACCTAACCATACGTGGTTTGACGACTTCAATGGCCTAACAATTTGCACTGTGGGCGCTGGATGATGAGCTCCCTAGTTTGAGACTAAGAAATTGGTGTAGTTTCCTGGCACATTATTGTTAACTCTGTTTTTGTCGCTATTAAATCTCTATTCGCATGTTTTTTGGATTCTTTAATCCTATTAAATTTCATACCTTATAAGTAAGTAACCAAAAGGGTGATATCTCCTTTCGAAAACAATGTTGTGGTCTACGATTTTTAGCAATGAATCGTAGCATCTTTTCGGTCCTAAAACAGGACGATATGTTCCGTAGAATTTACGTCTGAATTATTTTTCGTTCCAATTCCTCGATTTCCGTCTCAGAAAAGCTGTAACCGAAATATCTGTTACGGGACCGTATTGTGTGAAAATACGTTACTACAAGAACGTATTCGATTCCTCAAAATGGAATTCCACGTTCCAGTCTCGTAACAAACTATTTTTAGTGATATTATACATTTTACAGCGCAACACTTTGTCTTGAGGCTTTGGTTTGCTTTTATTCTTTTATCTGTCTGCCACATAGGTGTTTTACATAGATGTCTTGTCTACATCTAGTTCCATATCCATGATAATCCTTCCTCTCTTATCCCATTATTTGGGGTCGGCGCAGTACGTATTCTACTTCCATTAATCATCTTGTTGTTTATAGACATCATCATTCACCCATTATTTTCTTCTAACATTTCACTTCATGTAATCAGCATATAATGTAGTCCTCTGCTATATATAAACCACTACTATTACTACTGTACTATCCATAATATTAACCTTAGAGCTAAGTCCAAACTCATGGTACCACGATTTCGTTTAACCAAGTTAAACGACTCTTTTATGGGGAACTGTATACGTTTTTGCAATAAGATTCCGGAGCATATGTTAAGTTTATCATTTCCTAAGTTTAAAAACTACATTAAAAGTATTTTGATCGAAAAATCATATTACAAACTTGAAGACTACGTGTTAGATAAAGATGTATGGAAAGACGACACGGCTCCAGAATCCACACAAATTTGATTCAAAGTGTATTCCATAGCATTTAAGTTTATTTTAAAAGGCAATCCCTAGAGTTTCTTGCTCGTTCTTCTCAGGGAAGTCAGCGTAGTGAACGAGCAGTAGCTTAATGTAATGTAATGTAAATGTGACGTTTTCAAGTGTAAATCTATTTTACCTATGGAATAAATGACCTTTTACTTTGACTTTGACTACCACGAAGGATCCATAATGACACTTGCCAGATGGGCTTACCAGGGCAGCACAGCTTTAATGTGATGTTTAGGAACAAGCTCTTAGCCAGGTAAACATATTGACTCGTAAGGAAGCTTAAGCATGCAGCATAGTGCAGCAATTTGAGCAGCAGGTTGCCCAAAAGTACCTAATCGAAAACCGCAAAGTAAA